GTGGTCATGTGGCCGGCATGACTAAACACACCAAGAACGCTGTTACCTTCCCACCGAAGTGGTACCTATTTATCTACTTGCAATTTCTCGCTTTCGAACTGCTAGGTTGGCAGGAGCTGGTATGAGAGATGGGAGCTCACTCCGTCATGCGGCACACTCGGGTCTCAAACTGCTGAACTACCGACCTTCCACAGCCTGCAGTTCAGCGTCTTAACCACTTGAGCCACCGCAGCTCCTATACGGGGGTTACCTCTGCATAATTTAATGTTGTACTGACCCGGCTGGCCCAGGCCGCCCTGATCTCATGGGATCTTAGAAGTTAAACAGAGTCGAGCCCCCACATTAGTACTTGGGTGGGAGACCACCAAGGAAGTCCGGGGCTGGGGCAGGCAATGGAAGACCGCCTCTGACCACCTCTTGCCTTGAAAGCCCTTGAGGGGTTACCAGAAGTTAGCTGCGACTTGACGGTACGTTATAAACGTTTTTTTTACTATTATTAAACACTGTCTCTTCTAATCTTTTAATTATTTTATCGGGCTCCTCTCGAACACCGGTTCAGTAAAAAACAACAACACTTTCTTGGAGCACAGAAAAATAAATAAAACGGTTGGTGCAGGAAGCGATAGCGGAACTGAAACCCAAACATTTATTGCCAATTGAAGTCCCATTAACCTTTCGACTCCTCTGTACTTTGTCGAACTTATATTTCAGCCACCATTCAGTGAATTGTATACATTCCACGGGTTGCCAATTGGCAGCCAAAGATGTCTCGCTTCTGCCTTGGAAGGGTATAACCCCCACACCTGTCCCTTTCTGTCTTCTTGAAACACCGAGACAGCGAGAAGCTACTTCTGCTATTGCTGTCACAACCAATGTTCCCTCTAAGCTGTTGAGTCTTGTGAGCAAAAATTCCACTTTGTGAGCTACCGGCATTAAAGTTGTGTGCAAGCGATTTGGCTACTGCATCAATTAGTTTGCTCTGGAGTCGTCCTTCCTGAGCTAAGACAAAAATCTGTGAGCCGGAGGCTAAAAAACCGTGAGCC